ACAGTTTTCAGCTTTGAGTCAAAGTTATGGTTTGCACAAAAATGGAGCACTCTTTTTTGTAATTACACAGAAGTTGACAAAAGAAGTTGTGACAAGAAGTAGTATTTTATTAAATTTCCGTTTACAGCGTGGTAATTTGTCGGAATTCAGTAGTTAAGGGTTTGAGGGAGGTTAAAGTTTCATTTGATCTGAAAGAATTATTTACATGAAGGATATCGAGTTACTGTTTTATCTGACCAATTTAATGAAAGGATACTCTCGGTTAAATCTGCTTGTCAATGGTAATTAAACTAAGCATCACTCAATTACTTGTCGGATACATAGTTGCATTTACCACTGAGAAAAAAATCATTGTGCTATATTTAGTGGAATATTGACGACTGCAAAACCTGGTACGTCCACTTATTTGCGCACAATCTTTACATAAAAAAAGGTAAAAACGAAACACATGAACAGTTTAACTCAAACAACTTGAGGTGAATTGATTAATGTCATAAATAAAAGAAGGTTGTTAAATTAAGATTTCTTGGTCTTATTTATAGTTTACACGAAGATAAGGCTTTTCTACACGTTTGACTGGATCACTACTCAGCTGCGATGGCGCTAGACAGTGCACCACTGAAAACAAAACATTCGGAAGTCGAAGAAATAATTTATCCAATCCTACTAACATCATAAGATACCAAATAATATAGGAGTGGAATGGCATATCTTAGCACATTTAAACTCTATTTGTATTAACGCAAGTGTAGTGAGAAGGTAGTCAGCTTGATTTTAGTTCTTATAGATCGAAGACTGATGCATATTTTTAAGAATTGAATCATATAAAATCGATAAGCGTTTAGGCTGCGACTATTTGACAACTAAATTTCCTCTGCAAACCATGACGGCGATCACGATTAATCATAACCTATATAAAACCTGTTAAAACTAACTTCTTCATGTCAATACTGAACCCAATCTAGTGCACAGGTTTGTTCAGAAATCTTTTGGCTTTCCCATGAGCATCGCCAAAAGTGCTCCAAAATCTATAGGTTTCTAAAATAAAAGTGGCTCCTTCTCATGGAATATTTCGACACCACAACTTTGACCGAATTTTCGGTCCGAATTTTAACTTGGTCACGCGAGATAAGGAGTGATCAAATGAATGAAAATAAACAAATAATTTGCAAGGTATGTTACTCGTTTTATGCTTACAAGCACTTGTTTGAGCGTTCATTTAAACGATTGCACACAAATGATGGGCATTGTTAAGAGTAGGATCCTAAACAAGGTATTATAGCCAAGAAGTATAGGAGCAATTTCTTATTGTAATTTGTGGTTCCTCCAAGCAAATTGACATTTTGAAAGCTTTTTCAACCAAAACCTTTTCTTTTTATTCTAAATTCTGGTACAAAAGACTATTTTTTCAAGGGAACATTTAAAGCTTCAAGTCAAGGCAGCAAATAATACCGCTGAAGCTCAGAATGCAGTTAATGGTATTCCCTGGGCGATGATGATAATGCGGACCAGTTTTTGACATCTGGTTGTTTAGATCCAAAACTAAAAATAAATACTTTCTAAAATTAGAGTACTTATCATAGGTAGCACTACCAAATTCAAGAGCAATTTTAGGCATAATTCCAAAGACACTACGAATTCCAGGAATACCACTGGGGCCTGCTGTAACTGAAGTGGATTCCTATGCATTATTTTCAAAATTAAGCCGATTCATCAACGCAATTCTGAAATGGCGAAACATAAATTTAATCTTATAAGGTCAGATAGTTATTTTGCATAATCTCCCACTGAATAAGTGGGAGTTACTATGCATGAAGTATTGACATCAGCACACATTATTTCTAGTACCTGATGGCTTAAATTCTTTCTTAGATGCCTAATTATTTTTTAACAAAAGTGGAGACTAGTAAGGTATTTCCTTTATAATTTTACAAACTACAAACTATTATAATCACTGTTAATGTTGATGAGCCCAATCGCGAACGTGGCCAGTATACTTCAAATGCTTATGTATTGCTTTAAAAATACTTTCTAAAGATAGCGACATGAAAAGAATCAAGGACTTTGTTTAAATTTAGTTGACAATTTAATTGTTATAAGCATGTGAAGACCCTGAGGTTAAGCTGACGAATTTTTTCTTTGATCACCTAATAATCACCTATAATGCAGTAGAGCGATTAATTTCAATAGACCATAAATATTAAGCATTCAACAACAAAAAAATTTTCAAAGTTTCTCATTAACATATGACATTCGTATTTAGTTCCCCAGAAAGGAGAGAAGGGTAGTTGTTTATTGGAGACCTTAAAAAATCTCTCTTTTACGTTTTTGTGCATGCATGTGTATTTGCAGTGCAGTTTCCGCTTCAACCTATCTTTTATCTGACTGAACGCATTCACCGAAATGTCTGCCTGTTGCCAGCATGTTTATTTGACAGCAAGGGCAGAAAGGGTTTGGCTAAAGGTCATTTCTCCCGCCTCTTCCTAATTAACTTGCATTCCAAGAAAGTTTCCGATAATTTCTATGCCCGAATAGAAACATCGGAAATGTGGCTAAGTTGCATAACAACAATTTTTCTGTAGAAACAATTAAAATACAAGTCTGCATCCTAGGGTATCAAAATTATTAAAATTACCTAACACCTTAATATTCCAATATTTTAGGGCGCATTTTGTGGAGACATAAGTCTACTAACAAACTTTTGTCAAATTGTGACATCACGTATACTATATACATGCAATTTCAAAACGATTTTGCTAATCAAAGTAGTTTCCGCCTTACACGAATGAAATATGGCATCAAAATTAACAGCATTAATTTTTCGCGGCCCACTAAGGGAAGTCATTCAAATAAGTGATTTCAAGGTATCAATGTTCATAATGCTATATTTTCACATTAAATGCAGGTTTGAGGACATCAACACAAATGAAGCAATCAGCAACTTTTGCGTTCGAGCTCTTTAGAAATCTGTAGAAGTTGATGAAAGGGAAAAGTAAACTAACGAGTGCTTTTTTAAAAATATTAGATTGGGAATTCACACACGTTTTGAAATTCACTGAACCTCCTTGATGAATAGTGATCCAGTTTGTGCAAATGGCAGTTTCTTTGTTGGGGTTGCGCAATTTTCAGCAAGGCTATTTAGAATTTGATTCAAAGAATGTTTTAATCCGATTTCACAGTTTCATAGTTAGTAGAATACAAGTGATAAAATATATTAAACTGTCAAAATTGTCAAAAGAAATATCTTAGTATAGTCATTTGATATTAAATAACGCGGAATCTTTAACGTAAAATACTTTAAATGCCAAGCACGCATAAAAAGTGTGGTATTGTAGCACAAAATTCACTAAAACTTACACAATTTATTAAAACATTTTCTCAATACTATCATGCGAATCTACCTCGAAGTCGGTCGAAAATCACAATGCCCCAAAAAAAAAAACTTTTCACTCTTGACCGAATTTAACTATGCAGACCTCCGAAATTTTTGGGCTCTGAACAATTAAATCTAGGATCTATAAATTCCAAGGCGCAGGAAATTTTGGTTAGGTGGGAGCAAAGGATCAAACAACCCAACTTCATCCTATTTAAAAGTGATTCGTGCACTGAGTCAGTAGCATTTCATCCTGGGTTGGGTGAGTCAGCTAAGTCCTTCCACAGACCACTTTCATTACCCAAATAGATCTCAAGCCCATGAGCAATTTCCCCTTGAATTTGCTAAAAGGTTAATGAAAATTATGAAGACACAATTAAAAAATTACAAGACTATAGTGCAACTCGTCTGTAAGTGATCTACTGATTAGACAAACTTCTGCATATAACAGTGATAATTAAAATAATTTAAAATGCACTTGATTAAAATTAGTTGCTAACATAAACTAAGCATTTTAGTTCATGCCTAAGCAATGCAGAGAGTTGGCTGCGAAGATCCTGAGTGAACTATAAGGGTCATTATGATCCATGTCATGAAATTCCAAATTTGACACAATAAAGCAGCTTCCGACTTACACACTATCAGGCATCCCTGATTCTTTGATGCCATGATTGCTGTTTGACCAGATGTTATAGCAGCTTCAAGGTTTGGGAAGCTATCACCGTTAGTTAAAAGTCCAAACGTGTAAAAATCATTCTAATATTTATGATTCTGTTGGCTTCATTTGGCTACACTTCTAAATTTCACGAAAGTAAATCAATTTACATGCTTGTATTTTTTTTGCCCGGTATGGCATCATCTTTAATTAATGTTTTTGAATCGTAAAATCTCAAATTACATTTAGGGAGGTAAAGAGCTCGAGTCTACTTTACAGTGGTTGTTCTAATGGGTCTATCTCAATTTGCTTTGCTTTTGGTTTAAAGCCAAATAAGCATTTGTTCAAGATGCACAAATGAAGAAACGCAAGATTTTATCTCCACCATTTGGTAAACAACTTTCCACCTTAGTCCATATATGTTCCTCTTAAAAATATGTCCGATATTTTCCATGGGCGCAACGGGCAGAATTGGATTCTATTTATAACTTAGCTGACGTGTCAGCCTACATACCGGCACATGGGGAAGGGAAACTGATGGGATTATTCACTTCAAGCAGGAAAAAGTTCAGTGTCCACCGCTTAAATTTTATTGCGGATAAAATCATACGGCCTTTATTTAGAGTGTAGTTAAATATAAGTGCAGAACATGCAAAATAGAAGGTTGATATGCTAAGCAATTGATTCTTACATGATTTCTCGATCGTTTTTGTGGATTTCTGTACGTCAACTTTGGTATAACTTTGATAGCCCATTTGCTTCCAAATCCGTTATCAAATTTAGGCATTACGTTCTTGTATCCGGCTCATCGCGTCATTAAAAATTGAACATTTTAAGGACCAGCAGAGTAACAAACCCACCTACTTTTCATGTTGTTTGAATAGGACTACAATCATAAGACTATTATTGTGTTGTGTGTCAGTGCGTACGCTTCACGCTGATCCTGATTTACTGCAGCTTTAACGGGATTGCATGCGCGCGCACAAAGAGGCTGCCAGCCCCCTTCCGCTACAAGGCGGCTTCTTCAAAGCTCTCACACCCGCTAGCTTGCTCTTACCCTCTGGAGAGACACGGAATGAGAGGGAGAGAGTGGGAGTAAGGCGTGACGGCCCGTGGTGGAGGCAAGGGGGACACTAGCATCATTATCATCGGCAGAAGCAGTAGCATCATGATCAACGATGGGGGTTTATGGTTATTGCCTGCTCACACACGCTGGACCAGGCTGGCAAAGGGCGGAGAGGGGATCTTTTCAACTAACAAACGATTCCGCTTTGTCACTTTTTCACGTTAAAAATTGATCAAGTCATGAAAAATTAAACATCAAGGAAGAGCGCGACTTAAGTTCTGTCAAATGTCAATTTGATTAATCTGTAGTGTGACTATTAAAGCCTGTTAAAGTTTTCGACGATTTATGATCTATTTGGAGCAAGCCAACTAACGTCCTCTAGGTGTCCCTCCCTGACTTTCAAATAAAAACATTAGAACCTCTTTTCAAAATAACATTAAAGTAAACTGAGAGTTTATTGTCTTGTAATTACTTGCATCTATGCGGCAAAAGTAGTCCACTAAAGTCACCTGCCACTTATCACTGCGATTGCTACAAGTTTACCGATATGCACAAGCAGGTAATGCATGCAGGTATTCTCATGATGTCTATTTCTGATCGGCGAGACTCATGTTTATTACGTTTTGATAAATTCAGATGTGGAACCCGACACCAGAAGCACGTTGCCATCCGAGTTCCCTTAAGGGTGCTCCTTTCAAAATTGCATTAATGTTAGGAATTGTTTTGCGTCCGTACACAATAATCCATATAATCAAATACTGTCTGAAGTAACACCTAAGCAATAGGTGTTGGTGTCATTTAATTGCTGAAATAGATACTGATATCATTATATGCTACTTTGGTCAATTCGGAGGTTGGAAGTCAAATGCATCATGCTTAAAACAAGTAGGTGATTGTAAGTTTCCAGGTCGATTTCAACTTTGTTGTCAAAGTTTGATGTGTTATGCGAGCTACAAACGAATAGCTTCCGACAAAAAATACGATCAATCTAATGAGAACCCCTGGTAAATTAAGTTTTATGACCTCAGCAAAATGTAAACATTAAAATAATGGGACTCTAGGGAGGGGTGATGTTATAAGCTTTTGGCGAAGGAAATGGGTTTGATTAGGAACATAAGACATCTTTTTCTGTAAAACGATAACGTAGTAGTATTACCCAAGCGTTATTACTCAAGATTACAAACTGACGACATCACTCTAGTGTAGGCACAATAATCGACTTAAAATTGTACGTATTGGAGACGTATTCACTAACGGATTAGTACATTGGCACGAATAAAATCCAAGTACCTTCGGGAAGTTTATTGCAACGCTAAGAACAATGACTTCGTTACTAAGAGCGGACGAGCTGATTGAGGTGAACTTAGTACAACTTCAACGTCTGCTACTCCACTTTAGTAAAGTAAAATACACACCAATTCCCTCTCGTGATTAAATATAAAACACTCATTCCCAAAACTTTATCACCTCGCAGTATTCTTATAGTGGCTGACACCGATATTAGCTAAAAACGTGAGTACATAATGCTATATTTAGGGTGAAACAATTAATTCATCAAGATGGCTTAAATTACGTTAAAGAGAGCATTTGAGTTAATTTTTTTTTTCATTGATAGTGGCGTATTAATCAAAAGAAATCCTGCTCTAATCGTACATATTTATGCATAAAAATGTTTGGTTATGGAAAATGATGTGTTCTTTACACAGTTTTTAGATAGTATCGTCTTAAGTGATGAAGCCATTATAAAAAGCAGTTTGGCTTTCTTTTATCTTTTGGCAAACCAATATGTTTAAATGCAATGTTATAAGGCGGGGTTAAATTACAAATTACATGTTCCTTGTTGACAGCGGAGCAAGTATTTTCCAGATACTACAAATAATATTCCCATATAGGAAGCGTTGTGCCAGCGAAACCCACAAGAAATCAATCTACAAATTGTACTAAAATGATAAGCATTTTTAATGGTACTTGTGATATCCGCTTTGACGCGTTGGGAACCGTGTAAATGCAAGTAAAGTCGGCACAAATAGCGTGTTTTGGTATAATTGGCTAGGCTATTTGGTCTTCTCCCTAACTGATAGCTCAATAATGTCAAAAATTACAGCTTCCACTTTTTTTATATTAGGGCCAAAATTATAGCATTGCTTATACCAGGTCAAAATCAAGGTTTGCTTATAATTTTTCTTAATTTAAATGTTGAATCTCCCTATGAAATACTTTAGTCAGCTTAGCAAACAAAGTTAGCGCCTCAGAGTTGTTCCTTTGCTGGTAACAAACCGCATCAACAAGTAAAAGGCCTTATTATAAGCGGAAGTAAAGAGAAATAAGTCCAAATTGTTCCTGTCCTATAAACTACTTACCTTTGAAAGTTTACTTCTAAACAAGATTTAGTGACCCAATTTTGACACCGCTTTCCTGCCCACTACCGTTACAAAAAGTGCTATCGGCGTCCGACTCTTCTCCGGACAGTCATAACTTTACCAGGATCTCTGTAAAATCATTCCTTCTGTGGGTAATTAAGCAATACTGCAAGCTTGTGCTGTTTTTAAAGCGTACACGTTGTGAAAGACAAAAATTTCAAATAGTATCCGAAGTAATTTTAAAAAATATGGCGTTTTTTTTAAAAGTAGACTTATATGTAGACTGGGCTTAAGATAAGAGTTCAGAAGCCTAGGTAAATAGTAAAGTTGTTTTTAAAAATAGCGCTTGCTCAGCGCTATTTTTTTCTCCTATTCACATGCGGGACCTAGAATTTGGTCCTGGCAGATGTAATTAAATTATGTGACCAATGGGATTATCAATATTTACGAGTTAATAGATTTCTCGCACTGCTTACATGTCCAAAAATTTTAAAACCAACTGCAAATTTCTATGGCATGATCCACCCCAGCTTAAGAAAACGGGTTTTAAAGTATCACTTGCAATGCTACTTCCAAACCTCCACTTAGATACCTCAGATAATGGCGCTTATTTAAAACGCTGTGTATTTTCTTCGAAGCTCAGAAGGAGGCGGATATCTACTGTACAAATGACCCATTGATAGAAAGAATTTCATTGAAAAATTGCAGAAGAATGAAACATAAATATCAAGTTTACTGTGAGTTTTATGTTACTATTTCCATCTGTGAAATTTTTGGCTAGGAATGAAGCGGAGGACTTAATTTATGTAAAATCTCAAATAAAGCAGAGGCCATAAACTCTTCCATCAACTCAACTAAAGAAACTACCTTGATATGTATGAGAAAGGACTTAAGCTTATAAAGACACTTTAACTGGATTTCTAAAAATCTTTGTTGCTAATCAACCAGAAGCATTTATCTTAGGAGGCATATTATAATAGTACTTGTCCCTTAATTTTTTGACTAATTTTACTCAATTTTTATTATATTAATGCGAAGTCTGGGAGGCTCCTGAGGGTATTTTGCAAGTATTAGTCTACAGCGTTGTCATCAAGTTTATTACTAAAACGCGGAGCGTTTTGATGCAGAACAAGTGCTATAATTACGGGCGCTGTGGAGAAAGGCAATTACTTGCCATCTTCTCCAACAGTAAGGCAAAATCTCCGATTCGTTTATAAAGGATAATTACTTAAAACACCATTCGGTAACGGCACGCTTCACTTTGCTTTACTGCTGATTCTAGAACGAATTATACTTTTACGGAATTGCCTAACGATAGCATTTAGCGGTAACTATAATGTATAAATTCAAACTTATCTGGGTAGTAAATATTAACCTGGTCAGTGTCAAAATTTCCCTGTGATTGTCGTCTTCCATGTGCAACCACGTATAATTAATTGTTTGTAAATTTTTTCGAAAGTAAAACTCCCACAAGGATGTATAAAATAAAATTGATGGCTAAAATGGCTGAACGATTTGTGTCTAGCTAATATTTTACGTTGAGTGTCGTCAAAGTCCAACGCTACCCGTTGTTCGTTTAAGTTACATTCCTTTCCCCATTCCTGCAGCTAAAGCCAGTCCATCTCAAAACAATATCTTGTAACAGTTTAATGCAATCATTTCTTGACCAAGCAATTGCATTTTTCATCTGAGCTTGCTTTTCGGGCCATGGTGGAGTGAGTGACGTTAGGAGTTATGAATTGAGTGGTCAGCGCCCCACTTTATTGCTTCACAATGCAGTAATTCCACCCAAAAAAAAGAAGATTTACACAATTATCACAGTGTCAAGAACAGCTCCAATACTTAATTAGGCAACGTCTATCCATGTTACGACGGCCAGCATCGAAGTTAATGCATTTTCAGTCTCTTAAGGAACATCTGTTTGTAATGATCTTATGTTACAAATTAGAAGGAGAAATTTATCCGTTTGAGTGAGCAACCAATTCATTTTCTTTAACTATTTGAGTCATTTCGGTCGCAATGCATTGATGCAACTAATCACAAGGACGATGCCATATACCAGTTGATATAAACACTGCCCATCCACAAAAGTATGTTAGTATACAAATCAAAGTAATTAGACTAACAATAAAGCATGTTGGATTAATTTAGGTTCATTTTAAGCGTGAATACTGATTTTGAAATGCAACATCTAAAGTGTTGCATAGAAGCATAAAATGAACCTATCAATGGTACTTGCATTCCTACGAAACGTGTAGAATTAAGTCACTTATACATTCAGCATTTGAAATGAAATTAGATTACAGCGGCATTCATTAACATTGGGACTGTAAGAGACAACAGCTTATATCCCAATAATAGTCTTCAATGAAATAATCATTCAGACCTATTTATTGCTTATTGCTGAGGACTATTTTATGTTATTGCTGTGTGCTTTACTCACATAGGTTACAAATGAGCGGAAAACCTTTCAATTTAAAATACGTAGCAATTAATCTACAATTAAAAGCAAGAACCCTTACACTTCTCTTAGGTCTCTCCTGGGAGAAAAAATGGCGTCTCTTAATGCTTCCTGAATTGATTCTAATCAAAGGAGTGTCGCGTTGCGGTCGGGTACCATTCTGGTTGTTTCAAAAATATCATTCAGAGGCACTATCGAGTTTGTCAAATATTTTTTCGGAATAATTACATTGATTATGGAAACAAATAGAGTTGCGTAAAAGACGTAACAAGTTGTAGTGTTTGTGTAACAAAACTTAAGGATTCCACCTCTAGATTAGTCACTATTATGAGTATACATAAATATGCTCACTCGACTTTTGTAAATTTTCTGTTTCCTTAAAAAAGCGGACGAATTTTCATGGTACCATTATCAATTTACCAAACTGCCGTGGTAGATTACCATCCCTACAGGTATTTTTATGCCATAAAAATATGCATGAATGGGTAGGTTTATTACTTACATTCCCAAACATTTTCATTAACAAAAGTAAATAACTAGGTTGTCAACAAAATTAGGGAATTTTAACCAAATAGTATTGTTGTTTTTGAAGGCGGTACTTTATGTGTAATGCACTATCCACTTCATTAAAATAGATATAGTTCGCCGTAGTGTAGCGCGAGGATCCGTTTCAGGAGGCATATGTTGCGCATAGTTCGTTGTCCTACAAATGTAGCGTTGTAAAAGCTCCCTGTTTTAATTTTTTTAGCTTGTAAAACAAGCATTAAACGATGCATACTAATGGAGAAGAAAATTAAAAGACTAAGCAGTCAATTTAAGCCTTTATGCTGTTACACATTGATGTTAACTTACGACCTGCTCAATTCGCAAAATGAAATAAACAGAAACATTGAGAAAGCAAGGATAAATAAAACCAATGTAGGGCATTATGAAATTAGTGTAGATTTAGTCCGAAAATTGTACCTAGATTTTGGCCTTTATTGTGCGTGTGTATTCTCTGCTCTATTGATAGATGCGGTGGTTCGAGTAGAAAAGTAGCAAACATAGGTCTGCAAAAAGTCGCAGCCTTTGGAGTCTTGTTCAGCCAAAGCACACCTGAAACTTTGCTCACCAACCTAGCAAACATCCTTCGAGAGATGGATGACGCCAAGAATAACTCTGGTTCGAGCAAAATGACAGGTGGGCATTCGGACTGAATCATCCAGGAGTACGAGTCAGTGAGGTAATTCCGCTCAATTATAGCTACACTTTTCTTTCATCTTCGTACGCACATGGAAGCAAAACGAACACTTCCAAAAACAAGAAAGGGTTAGCAATCCTCACCGAAACCGCAAACTTTAAAAGCACCAACCTGCTGAATAAATTGCTACTGACGAAGATAAGTTCGAGACCGGAGAAGTAAGAAAAAGTGTGTAACCGCGCCAGAGTTGCTTCTCTCGGAGTGTCAGACGGCGTAATGTTGGACTTGGGAATAAGCCGCTCGTCTTCCCTTCACCATATAACACACACACATGCGCACACACGCACGCACACGACTGCTGCAAAGTCCACTATGGAACAAATGCGCGTGTACCCATGCATCTGCCCCCTCTAGCCTGAGCGGACTGGACAAAATCCCCAATGCACCAATCAGTCGAAAGGAGAGGAAACTAGTGCTTCAACTCAATCCACACGCCTGCTTGACTAACGCTCCGGGTGCGTAGGTGTGTTCATTGGTCCACCCTATTTCTACCGTCCCACCCCTTTTCCACCCGTCAGTAGAAGAGGCAAAGAAAACACGTCGGCTGTTCGGGAGTGCATGTAAGCATTGATTATCACACACTGCCACGTAAGCAGCCCAATTTAGCCCAGCAGGCCAATGAGCGAGTGGGATAGCTCGCGTACACACGCACGCGAGATGCGTGCACAGGCAGGCACGCAAACCTCGCGCCTGCACGGCGGATTGGAATGACTCACCGCGTGGCTCTTGGCGGGAAATCAGCGAAAATGTTAAAGGCACGTATGCATATACATATACACTAGCATATATATACATATTTATCATCCTTTGCTTTTCAGTTTGTTCGCCATCCGGTACTGGCAGTTGGCATTTCCTGCACGATTTTCATCAAAATATTTCCTCCGAGCTTTACATAATTAGTGGCAGCCCGAAAGTGCGAGGAATTGCACGCGGCTATTAGAATGTCTCTCTGTTGCGCTAGTTTAAAATCATTTTCACCGCAATAGGGCGGAATCAGTATGCAAACTAACATGACTAAACTACGCCTAAGTCGTTTGTAGGTCCGGCGTATGGGTAATGGGGTGATGCAAAAATGCTTTAGGAACCAACCTAAAGCGTTAGTGAAATACCAATGTACGGTTTATACTGCAGCCAGATCTTGTGAAATAAGGCTCCTCATAAGATTTACGTAATTTAGGCCTTAATACATTTGAGGATTTGTGCAGCTTATGAATGCATACAGTATTTTTAGGCGCAAACTGATGATTTTGCAAACTTATAGCAGTAATGCATTTCGCACATGGTTCACGGTACTTGGGTATACAGGAAACAAGTGGATAAACAATAATGGGAAGGTTAAAAATTGAACCCCCACATTCGAACCAAGTAGTTCCATATTCATTTTGGTACTGAAGTAAGTTCACACTTACCCACTTTAAATGGGGTCTTTAATTGCGAATTTGCGCATTTGCGTCCTCATTTGATAAACAGACACTTTGTAAAAGGAAAATTACTTGTATTATTTAACACGAAAGCGAACAATTATGCCCTGGTGTGCTATTTATCAGGCCCGAAAACCATATTCAAGTGCTAGCTCAGCTTCGTGGACACATCACAAATGCGTTTATAGTAAGAACAGACAGACGTGACCGTTGGGATGAGGTGATCGTAAATTTTTATGAAGATAATCATATCGTCCCTGCTTGCTTTGTTATAAAAAAATAGAGGCTTAGATACTGACAACAAAACATAAGAAGTTCAGCACTAATTTATGCAAAATAAATTCCACCCATCACTCGGATATTCAATGGTACAACTAATCGTGATTTTTGGAGGACATTTATAAAGTCGATCCCCTTGGTAGGTGAGCTATGGAGTCCAGTGCCTTGCTTGCATTGCCATGGCAGTAGGGTCGAATAACTGCACAGCCCACTTTTAGCCTTATCACATCAGAGAAAGTCCCTTTTCGTTTTAGTCGGTACGTGGGCACTGCTGTAAATGGTGTCTAGATTGCATATCTTACCCACCATATGACAAGCAGCGGCGGGAAATTCATGTGAGAGATGTGAATGGCCAATTTGCGAACAAAATTTACGCAGCACGTGCTACCGATTTGGTAACTTCATTCTTCCTTCTGCCCTGTAAAAGTTATGGCATAGGGACTACCGATTAAATTACCTTAAGAATATTTGCACTGCGCAAGATAAACCATCGCTAACTTATAAGTGAACATGCAAAAAAAAACAATCCCCTTGTCCAATAAATTCACCAGCTTACTAGTACAACCATACTTCTTAACTTTGTACCAATTTTAATTTGTGTTCAATTTTAGGCAGGTTATCGGTCGCATAAGTCGAAGTTCTAGTTAGTTTTAAGTCCAAAAATTCACGTATTCTATGAAAAGCTTGATTTTGTGATAAAAGTGTTTTCCTTGATTCATAACTTGTAAATCTACCTCCATTTGGAACTCCTCAGTCCGCCTCATCAAATAAATTGCCACTTCTCATGAGCGAAAATAATCCAGTTAAAGTGTTCGAGGCACATAACAGTTAATTCAAATGAGATTTCTAAATGCATTTTTTAGCACGAACCATTGCTAAATTATGTTCCAATTTAAATGCATTGTTAAAAACTCCAACTAGACATTTTTTAACATACGAAATAGATGTCTATCTCACAGTATTCGTCAGCTTAAAATTTATCAAACGCATAATATTTTACTGCGTCCAACGAAATTGCACTTAAAAAATTGCAATTTTTCTGTATTAAAAGTATTGTCTTAATGTGTTTTGATAGAATAGATTTGTTGTCAAGAAATGCAAAATTAACCTTGAATTTCGTTTTGTTTACATAAGTCAACTATAGATTTCCATTACGAGTGCAAAATGAAGCAATTTTTTTTCTCAACCTTACGTTGTAAATCTCATCCAACTTCCGCAGTCGTAGGTGTATCAGAAGCCCCAACAATATCAACTTACTAAAAGCAAACAAATTCTTACAAAAATAGCCACAACACCCTCCTCTTCATTTTAAAGGGCCATTCGAAATGGTTTATACTGAGTGAACCAAAGACCAATTGACATTAAGTGGCTGGTGGTAATAAGCGTAGGGACAGGAAGGCGCACCCTAACTGATCGAGTGGCCACACAACCTGATTTTGGTGACCAGATATTCTCCATCTAATTAGGGATTATGTCTGTTTAATTGGCTGCAAAGACGGTGTTCTTTGGTGAGCAAAACTGGAGCGGAGGTGTACATTATTAAAAAAGGCTTCAGTTTGTCTAATACAACTGGTCTTTCAAAACTTTATACATTTTGGTGCGATCTTTCATGTATTAGACTAGGGGATTTAAATTCATGAGTGATTTAATACACCTTTCACTTTAAGGTGGAAAGATAGAGTCCCAGTCACGATAAAACCAGGTCAAGAATATTTTTCATTTGTTTTAGGATCAATCAAGCACATCGCTGGAAGAAATGTTGCAACTTATGCTTGGTGACGTTTCGAGAGTCCATGCCAACTTCACCCAAGTTCTTCGGGCCGCTATACGAAAATAAATTGGTGTAGCTTAGGTGACTAAGAGGACTCCTACAGACACAATTGATAGTCTTAGCAGCCAGCCTAAGAAATCCTAACTCAAAATCCTCGGGAAAATGTTTGGGAAAAATCCCAGAACAAAAACACACATTGGATATGTAGCTGTAGATACAAAATTAAGCTGGTTCACATTTCGTTTGCTGTGATTCGAAAAGAAATACTTTGACGAGTTCCATTAATTTACCATAGTGTACGTTTTTTTGACATATTCAAAACCACTTTGTAACGCAATGTTTTAAGACGTGGATACTTCGAAACAAGAAAGTGTTTAACATGACTTATCGGCGTGGTCTCTCGGCCACGTCTATGGGCTCTCAGGCCCGCCGGACCCAAAAAATAAATTGTCTTCCACACTGGTATGGCTCATTTTGACGCCAGAGAAGGCTCAGAGTGCTAATATATATATTGATGTGTTTAAGGCCTATTTTTGTCAAAAGTGAATAATTCTGGGATTTCACAAAGTTTTAGGATATTGTTTGTTAATTTAAAATATGCTAGTTATAGTTAGCAAACCATTGAGGGATGTATACGTTGAAAACACGTAAATCATGATTAATTCTTGAATTCATATATATTTGTATCTGACAATTTATTATTTACTCAATATTACGATGCCTTATAAAGTGCTTTTTAAGGATACACATATTGGGCTTGTTCGTTGATGTTTTGTTTCTCATTTTCTGATTTGGTGTGAGAACATCTCAGCTGTTAATAGACGGTAGAAAAATTAACGCTGAATATGTGAGTACTAAGTTATAAGTCAAAGGACTCGAAGCATTTCATCTAAAATCAAGTAAGCTTAGAAGGCGGTGGTCCCAGCACAATCACCTCCTAAGAGAAACGTTGAGATCGCAACCTATAACTATGGCAAATGAGGAATGAATGCCTGCAAAAATTTGCGATTAAATACCAACGATTTCCAGTTATTTAACTGCTTTGAAGTTGACATTTCCCCAGAGACTCCATTTACTCGAAATGCCAAAGCAACAGTGCCTTGGCGCAATCGTAATTATAGCCTTCTTGTCTACATAACCAATCTTCATTTCCAGTAACTTATTGTTGCATATATTCATAAGTTGCCAAAACTGTGGTTATAAAATGCTACTTGATGTTAACTACGGCCTTGCACTCATTGATGGTGTAACACAGGAGTCAAGGCCCCCGGTTATTTTTTTTAAATGCTAACCCTGGTTAGGAATTGGGTGAGTACTGGGTGCAAAGTTTCATAGTGCATGACTAATGTTTGTTTTAACTGAGATAAATGCAGTGTATTAGTTTCTACCGGAAAATTGAACGAGATCACATCAGCTTTTGCTCTTGGTTAGGGCTAATTACTTTGTCATCCAACGTTTTCTACTGAAACCCCCCCCCCCCAAATCATGGTTACCTGCTCCCTTGGTATTGCATAAATATTACCTCTGTGCTCATGCTTCAAAAAATCCAAGCTCAGTTTGATGTAGATTTGTGTGGTAAATGGAACTGAGTGGTGTAATTAGCCATCATCGCTATGGGCATGCGAATAGGAATCCAAACAATGGGTTGACGAGGGGCCAACTGCATGGTTTTCTAACACTGTAGTCACTATTTTCATGGTAACCTAGCAACCGACTGCGCTTAAATTGTTATTGCAAAGAAAATGCCTTTTTTATGGTAGGCATCACCATAGCAACTACGAAGGCGTCAGATCATACCTCACCCCCAATGTCTACGGGAGAGTAAACGGTATTGCAAAAGTGTAATCGTCTCGCCTCAGGTTTAATTTGGAGTCCAACTCATTTACTGATGTGTATGTGATTTAAATACGTTACATTTTCATAAAAGCTAGCAGAAAACAACTTAGATTCAATCACTTTAAGTCAGGACGAGCCTCAGTATGCAATAAAAGAGTACTAAAACAGTTTTAATAACCATCCAAAAGATTAACAAAGATAAATGTTCATAGATGAACACGGTCTCATAAATGTTAAAAGTGAGACACTGTGCGTAATTAGGACTACGTTTGTGACTAGAAATTGTGTGTAAAAGAATAATAATGCATAATTTTGAACGTGGGTGTTTGGAATAAAGTGCAAACCAACTTCAAGTTTATAAAAATAGTTTTACAAAGAGGCTCCAGAAATGATTACTAAGAAGGAAAGTGTCCCGATTACAACGTTTCTATAATATCCAGAACGACAGCATGCACAGATACTTGGCCCGATTTTTATCCTTCCAAATGTCACGATTTCCACGGTACTTTGTGACCTGAAATTATAAAGTCTTAACTGAAAAATTGGACATTATTCTTTGATCATATTTACCAACAAGCAAAATGTGCACCTTAAAGCTTTTCAATAATTTATTCTTCGGACTACTACTGACAAAGGCATAGAATTGAATTCCTTAAACCCCAGTGTCTGAATATGTTGGGGTAAACAAGAAAGATAAAGATTAACTTCCAGTTACTCAAAAACAAATAAGACTGAAGTAGTTTGATTCCTTTGAAGTGCTTTTTTAATTCCGTAACGGCAAGTGACACGGTATGACAACAGGGATTATAATTTACATTCGGTCAAATAATCATTTGGGCTTAGCTTAGAAACTTCACCAATACTTTAAAGTCGGCGAATTCAATATTAAAATACAAGGTCCCTGGTGTGAAAATTATCCTCGAATAGTCAAACATAGAAGTTTTGGCTAATTTGCGGCCATTATCATGAAGATTAGCAACATATTCAGATACGACCTGGCTTTACAATTCTTAATAGCCCCTTATCTTCACATTTTAAGAAAAATGTGAAAAACCTGTTTGTGCCTTTTGATACGATTTGAGACGGATAGACTCTTTTACGTAAAATTAAAAAAGGAGTGAATACCATCAAATCTGTATTATACGACAACTTTATTTTTCAACACATAAGTTTAACTATTAATGATTTAATTCACTGAAGTACTTTTACCCATATTAACTTCGTGTTGTATGCACATCCCAATAAGTTGCAAGTGTTTACAGTTAGTGGGAAAATGTTTATTAATGAATGCGATATTGCTAGACCGATGACCTCATTGATATTCTTACTCTAATTTGCACGTTTGCCAAGGGGATCTGGGGCAACTGTAGACTGCCATAGCCAAGGCATTTCATTGCCATGAAAAACCAATTCTTCACATTCCCTTGTCCTCTTCCATTCAAACATACCCTTTTAATTAGGCGTGTCATATATGTGTGACGTGCGGGATGGCGTAAAAAGGGTGTCACATGAATGTCATGTTAGCTGATCATTTGCCCTTCATGTGAGACACAAAATATTAAAGAGGTGGGGATTCCTGATAATTATATACGACACAGAAAACTTCTTTAGAGCTCAATAGTTATTATGAAACTTGCGTTCTGGACTGGTAAATATCCATATTGGGTGAGTTGCCTGGTTTGCAGGTTTTGTATCACAGCGCAATTTTACCTCAAGAGCAGTGATAATCTTATTTTAGCAGCATTAAATTCAAGGAATCGAAGCTAAATGAGTAAAGTTCTAAGCTCTTGTATAATTTGAATATATTGCTAGGACTGGTTTGTGCACAATGGGAAAAGTAGGAAATTCAGGCTATTTCAATTTACATCCTGTTAGCACAAATGGGTTTGTGTATTAATATTTGATAATTCTCGAGTACACTGCAATTTACATCGATAATTGGTGGTATTTTTCCATGTGAAACATTACCACTGTCTGTCAGATCCGTATCCCGTTTTCAAGTTACAGAATTGTTTTAAAATGCATTAAACAATCACATAAAGCCTTTCAGGCATTTTTCATTACAATGGAAGCCAAAAAGCGATGCCACTTTTTTAAAATATCAACTGTTCTAGTAGTTATCGCGTGGTATTTAAGTAGGTAACAGCATCGATTATTTATTTTGGTTAATGAATTTCCAGACACGTAAGGTCAGTGGAGCTAATTCTGTTTTGTAGTCGCGGACACCGGGAGCATATTTGCATATTTGATTTCTGGTATTGATAAAACAGGAAGGCAAATCGCATTAAAAAAGGGAACTAATTAACAATTAACAGACTTATGCTCTTCCCAGAAAATTGTTTTTTGCGTATAAAGTTCATTTATTACCAAAACTGTTGATAAGCGAACAAACGATGGTTTAACTCCGTATAAATTGAATAAATGCTTTATTTGTAGTGATGTGATTACACAAACCATCACGTATGGAAATCAAGCTCTTAAATGTAAGCGCTTAGATACAGAGCAATAATTAGGTCAGCATTACTCCAGAATAATATGGCAAATATTTATCATGCTATTAATACAGCAGACGTCTGTTGTTCGGGAACGTGTTCGGCCATATATGGACAAATATTTTAAGCATTTTTATTCCCAACAAGAAAACGCTGAATCTCACACAGAAAATCAATGACATTTGCCCACACTCACCTTAATTCCCATCCAAAATGAGTTTAAAATTACATTCTTAAACTTACCTATAAGATCCATCGTATCGGAACAGTTGAAACTTTCGATCACCAGTCGAAAAGAAACACTCTAAACCATCAAACATTACCATAAATTTTAAGTCTTCTTATCTAATATAACAAGGCCTCAGCATTCATCCGATGGCCCAAATCAGGCAATGAGGCACACTGTTAAATTCGGAATACAGAAGATGGCTTTAATAAGTCACAAATTCTCACGTGGAATAGTGGTTTCTCTTGTAATGCTTTAGTAGTTTGCTTGAATCTGCGTTTGGTTAAACCTCCATATATTGTGCTTTCGCTTGGCGACAGAGCATCGGGGTCATGACGGCAGTCTCGGCTCCTCTAGATGCCATACCAAGTTGTTAACCATAGCTATATTGGAACTAAACCATCGCACTACTTGATTTGAGATCTCGTTAAGGGAACTAAAGTCGGGCGGAGCCACGGCACAAAGGGTTGTCTGCATTCGCCATTATATAGAAAAGCATTGAAGAGGGGCTAAGTTAATTTAGTTGTGATACAGCGGTATTAATTAGTCTTAAAATTACGCTTCGTAAATAATTTACATCCTAAACAATTATATAGTAGTCGGGCTGTCTAAACAAAAAGCATTTAGGTTGTTTTGACAACAACGCCAAGTTTTGAACTTACCTGAAAGCATAAAACTAGCGCGCCTACTCCATTTTATTATATCTTACAATTTCGATTAAAAGACAGGACAACGCCTTTAAAAACGTAGCCTTTTCTCTATTGAAAATTATTATGGCTATTATAGAAGCCGTAGATCTCTATGGACTGTTGATTTAGGTTATTGTTATAAAGCCGGAAATACATTGTTATACCTTAACCACAAGGTCGGTTACTGTGGTTACGGTCAGCTCAGGTTTGAATGCTCCCTAGATAAAGGTACACAGTACATTTGGAAAGTGATGATAACCATGTAGTGGGAATGATTTAGCTTGAGCTTTTAGTATGCAATCGATGGCTTGAGAAACTAATAATAATGTACTTGCAAGTAATATTGCTTAATTTCTGCCTACTTTAATTTATGCTAGTTTATATAGGGGTATTTTCCATAAAATTGCATACTTGACTAAGAAAACAAAATAGTAGGGCAATAGTGCATCTATACTAACGTGCTAATACAAACTTGTTGTGTACGTGGATGTACCATATGGACCAGCATCAATCCTCCAGCACCAATCTAATTAATTCGTGGTTTTGATCCAAAGCATCTGTGCTACTGTCACAAGTAGCAACCTAGTACTAGAGCTTTGTTTTTGATGCCAATCATTTTAAAGGCTATAAGATCCTTTTATTTTAGTCTTGTATATTTTATACAATAGCACCGAATTCTTTCGAAAGCACTTGGGAGCACTCAAAGATGTGTCAAAGCAACCATACTCTTTTCATTCACACTGAATCTAATAAATATAACACTCATAGTCAGACGCTGTGGTCACGATATCGGGATTTTTCATCTCAAACAAAATGCTACTATCAAAGGTCTATTTCTCCAGTTCCAAAAAACCAGCGAAATGCTCTAGCATGTGGTTCGACAAAAAACAGGGATCTAAACATGAAATGTGTGAATATGAACTGGTATCCCATGATTCAGGAGCCCGTGAGAACATTTTTGGAAAGGCTTTATCCTCAAAAAAAGTTTAATTATCATCCAAACACTTGTTTAACAAATACTGAAAGTGTAGACATTAATAAATTAGCAATCTCCATAAATGAGGTAAACACAACAAGTACGCCAGCATCAATGGCCTGTAATCACTCCCGAACACTGGAGTTACTGCATAACACAAGTGAACCTGGAATAACATTTGCGAAATTGGAAGAGATTCCACACTACAATGCGGCGAATGAGTCTCAGCTTTGCTACAGGTAAAAAAGAATTAAAAAGCCACCTAATTTACGCAGTCAAAATGAATGCAGTAGGGAAGAATTCTATTTAACCTCAGTGGTAGAAATAAACTAGTAACTAGTAGCTGTCCCTCCCTGTAAGTTTTATGATACACCTTCATCAGGAAAATACTTCTCTGCACTTTGTTACTGATAAGGGAGTTAATATTTTAGCTTAGAGGAGTTCTCTCCTACTCCTACTCTTTTATAATTGCAGGGTTTCTAACAGTGACAATGGTATGTATGTAGAGACTTTTGATGCAGCAAAGGTAACTTTGATTTGCTTCCCAATATTTTCCCCGTCTGCATTTAATTTTACCACTTTTATTCATTGAGTGGCAAAACAATTATCTGTAGTGGTCGTAATTTACCTACATGTACATTTCTTAAATAATCGCAGTTAGTTTGACGATATTTTAGAATAATTTCTTCGAAACATGCATTCTCACTCTGTAAATAATTCTAGCCTACCTTTTACAATACATGGGTTTTTGTGGTAAACTACTTACGTAATGAAGTGTGCGCTGCCAATGTTGAACTTTAAGAAACAGATTGTAAGGATTGCTGACGGTTTTTGTTTATTAACAGGAAAATGAATGGAGTTCTCCTCAGTCCAAAATTTCATATAACTTTGTCATCAAGTTCAGTGGCAACAGAAGTAGTTTCTATCGAAACTAAAAATTTTGTTTGTCTTTTGAAGGACCCTTAAATCTACATACTTTGTCTCTCATACTCCATAAAAACTCCAGAACGACTGAAAGATTACCTATTTTAAACCCTGTACTACTGTTCATACTCGTTTCCTGGTTCCTAAATCAATTATTCCTATTGTCATAATGTTACCTTATCTAATTAAAAATTCTGTTCCAAGTGTTACTAATAAAGGTAGAATTTTACGGATTTTTCAGTTAAGAACATTAAGCTAAAATAAGTTTGCTTTATGTGATGCTGAAGTAATTAGAAAAAATCATTCTACAAATAAGTCTTTCTGTGCCTACATTTCTTGCAAATGAAGTGAGTGATTCAACTTCCCTCCTCTTTTTCTTTATCTATTTAATCACATTGGTAGTTTTAAAAGTCGACTGCTTTATTTATTTTGTAATGTCGTTGATATTTCTCATGCAATTTTATGTTTGAGTACGAATTATCCTTCAAATTCCCCTTCCTTTGAATGGAAGCGTCAAAAGGACCATCCACCAAGGAGAGGAGAATGCGGTCAGCCACTAGGCCTGCCAGCGAATTTGAAAGAAAAACAGCTAACCACACAACCTTTAAATGCTACAGGAGAGCCCGAACTACCCCTAGTCAAAAATCCAGGAAACCTGAGTGTATTTACCAATCCACCAGAGCATCATTCGGCATTAATCTTCTCTATGTTTCCTAAAGTTCCTCCGTGTCTTCGGTTTTCTGATGTGAATGATAAATGTGAGAACTTTCTCATCATTTCGTGGCCAACTTATAGAATTCACCAGACCACAAAATACTCTCACTTCCAATTTAGCCGACCTCTTACCATGGGAATTCCGAAAACTATTGCACTGGAGACCGAGCCTGGTGACTCCTGTTGTAGTAAAGCAAGCACTAGCAAGAGCGCATTTTCGGGCATCAAACTGTAGGTTTTAATTAATTTTTCCAGACATGAAAATGCACACAACTGACGATGAACCGTTCAAATACTATTTTATTTGCATATTTCAGTGACGTCAGTCGCAGATGACCTAGACGCAGTCGGTAAATGATTGTCTTTTAGCCGAAATTTATGTCTTGCATTTTACGCAACCCTTTAAATACATTCTAGAGTCATCCGATTGGATATACTACTTTGGAAAACATCTAAAGCCAGACGCTTTTCTAACGATCCGCGATTATCAAAAGGTACGCATGGGTTGGTGTCACTACTACTAAAGGGAATAATAACTTCTAAAAATACTTCCAAAATCTCTCCACCAAGTTTTTGTAGTTATCATTATACTTCAGGTGAACCACTTTCCATGTTCGTTTCATCTGGGTCGCAAAGACCGTTTATGGCGGAATATTTCTGCAATGCAAAGGAGGTTTGGAGCGGAGAATTTTAACTTTGCACCGCTAACCTTTTGTATGCCAACAGACCTCGAGAAATTTAAAGACTTTTGGCACACCGAAGGTGCTGAACATCAGTGGATTCTCAAGCCGGTAAGTGACCTAACACCAGCTACCTTAACCTAGTTGGCTTCACAAGTCATTTTGTGCGTCTTTATCAGAATATATCGCCTAATTCCGATGTATCAAGGAAGTCGTTGTTGTTCAATGAATTCTACATGTAATATCTTGATCACCGTGCACATTTTAGCCCGCATCAGCTAGAGGATTGGGAGTGCGAGTTATAAATAAATGGTCTCAAATCCCTAAAAAGAGGCCTCTTATTGTCCAGAGGTACTTGCGACCACTCAAAGTAGGTGATTTTGTAGGTTTACATCACGCCTAACTCACTTGTATTTTTTTAAGGTATCTTAACAACCCTTACTTAATCAACAACAGCAAATTCGACCTTCGTATATATGTTTTCATTTACTCTGTGCATCCATTAATCGTGTACGTTCATGAAGATGGCCTAGTGCGGTTTGCATCTCACATGTAAGTGATTCAAAATAACCATTTTCCTTTGCTCCCTTTCCGATTCATTGCTTTAAGGAATACATTATCATCGCAAATTTATGCTCATTCCTTGAGGTCATTAAAACAGAGGAGATTATCCGTCGATCAGTCTACATCAAATATGCTCTGCCGTTCTTTGCTGGCCCATTAAATTTTTGCAACTCTTACTGCAGATACACTAACTCACCCCGCTTCGTTGGAAACCGATATGTTCACCTAACAAACTACTCCATCAACCGTCAAAATGTGGATTACATCTCTAACGCGAGCGATGAAACCTGTACAGGTCACAAATGGTATCTAAGGTGTTCCTGTTTCCAACTTTGAACTCACCTATTATCGCAGCTTCAGCACAAACACATCTTCTCCACCCCGCAGGAGTTTGCGAGCATTCTGGGCCTATTTGCGGTCACACGGTGTAAAACCTGAACCCGTGTGGAGCTCCATCAAGGATGTAATTGCTAAGACCTGCATCGCCATAGAGCCGCATTTGAAGAATGCTGTAGACACCTACTGCAAGTCGCCGTACAGCGTTCAAGAGCTCTTCGGTTTCGACATCTTTCTTGATGCAAACTTAAAACCATGGGTTCTTGAAGTCAATGTGTCACCCAGGTTAGCAAATCTGGAGCTAATAAAAAATAGGTATTTAACCTTTTCAGTGCTGATCCGGAATGGTGATTAAAATAAAAATTACGCTCCTAGTGGAGAGAGATGAGGAAAATTTCCTCGATTGTTTCAGCATGCACATAGATTCACCGCTCGATTCAAAAGTGAAAGGCACAATGATCAAGGATATGCTCAACTTGACTGGATTTAACTTGCCCTCACCAAAAGATATTTTGAACGGAAACACCAAAAAATCCCCCATGCTGCCATCTGGAACCCCGCGACTACCACCGTACCAGCACTTGAACATCAACCCAGACTCCGACGATGTTCATCTCATTTCTCAGCAGACCATCTCTCCTATCTCCAGCGATACTCCTCCCATTAAAAATGGTAAATAAACTGTTCAATTTTAGTCAACACTGTTACGAGCGCACCTTTGAGAGAGCGTAAATGTGAATAAAACTTACGTATATCCCCAGAACCGCTAAAGTGGGTGAAAGAGGTAAAAAAACCCACGGCTCCACCCCATCCTTGGCTACTAGATCGCAGAGTGACAATGTCAAAGTTGAGCGATGATGAGCGCAAGAAACACGAGTACTACGTGCTGCGAGCCTACGAAGCCAG